TAATCTAATTACCGTTTTTGCAATAGTAATCCCTTACTTTACTCGTTACTTGAAAAAAGTAATCGGATTACAGTAACGCGTTACCAGTAACGCGTTACAAGTAACGCGTTACTGCCCATCTCTGTTGCTTATGTATATATTTCTTTTGCTAGAAGAGCTAACACCCAAATTTCTCATTCGTGGGATAATAAAGCTTTATTCTACTGTATTCTATGAGTTTAATTTCCACCCATCTCACTTTGCTTTTCTGAAAAACATCAGTTTTAACCGAGCCATTGTATCATCTGTAGTGTTCAACATCAGCCACCTGGACCAAACCAAGTCCTGTAATAAGAAGGGGGGGCAGGGTTAGATCTGACTGGAATTCATTTTTTGTTGCCATAAAGAAAACTAAACTAAAGCTGGGAAACAAATATGTTTCTAAGTACCTTGTGAAGCAAACGTTATTCTGTCAGTCACAGGCCCTTAGAGTCACTTTTCTCCTCGACCCTGGACATCACAGTGAACTGAACTAGAAAAGCTGTTTGATTACAGCACAAATCACAACTAGGATCACTTTGTAATGCAATACTGAAACATCAAACATTTTCAGAGTCAATTATATATTATATGTTGAACATAAGAGAGAAACTGTGGGGTACTTGGACTTTGGAGACTTGTGGGTGTTTTTGACTGTAACTCCCATCCTGCAACGTCATCCACGCCAAGCTATATGAAGGGGGATGAGTCTTGGTACACCTGGACAGAAGCGGCAGAATGCCAAACAGCCGACTGTCACACATCAGTGAAAGGGGACAAGGTGAGAGACACTGAGTGATCCAGAAACCACACACAGGCGTTAATAATCATTCCTGGGTAGATTTATCTACTGCAAAAACTGAAAGCTCTCTTTTAGTCATTTGAGCCTTTACGGTGAGTAAAGCTGTGCTTTTAAGACAGATTTATAACAAGTTATCAAATCCAGAATGATGTGGAGGTAAATATATAAATAATGCTCAACGAGTTCTGGGAACACGAAGATCAAGAAATGAGTCAGCATTTTTATAACACTCTTTACAGACAACTTAAAGGCAGATTAACCCATTAATACACAGAGCACTTCCTTTAATCCGGTGGTTAAGTGATGAC